GAAGTTTGAAAGAATTAATATGATTATTCTATTTTTTAGAAGAAAATATGCTGTCACCATTTCTTGACAGCAAACAGAGTGGAGATAGAAGACTTTAAGACACATCTTAAAGAAATGGGGGAATGAACCCCATAGGAGACCCAACGGACCATTTAGTGTGGGTGGTTCATGGGGCCATCCTTTCCAGCAAAAATCCCCAAAATTCGTGTTCTCATTCAGTAATCACAGGAGAATTTTTGCTCCCACCGTATACATGGTGTAAGGTGTTTTGAAAATACAATGGCTAAACAAACCTAGTATTTTTAAATGATTGGGACTGGTCCTTAATATCAGTGAATATTAATACCTGTATCATGTCCTGTAAATACATATTGGGTCCTAATATATTTCAAACCTCAACTCCTGGACAGGTTATTTCTCAGTTTTTTTTTTAAATCATTATTTCTTTATAATAGTTGATACAAATCTGGTTCTTAACTTAGCATTTGGGGCAGCTTCAAGAGTTTTCCGTCCGTGGAAATGCCTACTTTCCTGTCCAGGCTCATTCAGTGCATCCAGATTTCTCAGGTCTTCGGAGGTTCTTTGGAAAACCATGCTGCTTGTCCCCCATTCAGCAATTCGAGTCACAAATGTGCATTTAGCCCCTAGTAAACATGTCTTTAGTGCGTGTGGGTGGGAGTTGGGGTGGGGTGGGAGGCCAAAGATGGAAGACCTGGTATTTCTCTCAGTAACAGGAGAAGGGACAAGGGCCTGGAGCAGGGCAGACAGAGGTTAGTGCTGTAAGAAGGAAACTCACGGTGCTTGGGAGGCACAGAGAAGAAAGACAAAGAGGGAAGGGGCGGGAGGGGGCAGCGGGAGCTTTTGAGGGGAGGGAGGAAGGAGGTGGCTTCAGCAGGTGCTGAGGGAGGGTCATGGCAAATGCTGTGTGTGGGATGGTTCGGAAAAGGGAGACACTGGAGGGAGAGGAAGGAGACAGCCCCGTCAGGTTCTCTTCTTGTGCGTTTTTAATTAAATTAAATTGAATTAAATTGAACACATTAATGAGAAGATAATAGAAGCGACTTATCCAGAGAATTCATTCTAACTAGTGCCGTCAAACACCAGATAAAACATTAGATTAGGGCCTTCTGAGCTCGTTCTGAATTTCTGAGGAAAAGTTAATTATGTAGTTTAGACCTAATGCATGATTTTTCTCAGAAAACCACACTTCTCCTAAAATTCCTTTTAATGAGCTCCTAATTTTTTTTTCTCTCTCTACTGTCCAAGGCTTTTGTAAAAAAGGACCATGTGGGTGCCACCCTCAACCCTGAGGGAAATGGGCAAAGAGGGCCAGTCAGTGGTCTGTGTAATGCTAGAGCAAATGTTCCTGTGTACCGGGGGCGTTCTGGGGCTTTTGACAAAGAGACGCCACCATGGCTAGTCCATATCTGGCTCCCATTAGCTGATCGTTAAGACCTTCTGCCCACCCACAGAAACAGATCCTTAAGAGTAAATGTAAAAGGAATCATATACATATATATACATATGTATGATCGTAAATAATATATGTATATGTACTACAAGGCTATAATACATATGCCATATTTAATATACATAATTGGGATTATATACACACATACATAAATACATGCTGGCAGCTATTGGATAATAGACATGTTCGGTTCATCCCTCCAATTTAGCCCATAATTTTAAACCTTCTCTCACGAAACTTTACCAAAAATTCACAAAAGCAGCCAGTGATAATAACATGAACAACTTTCTCTTTGTTTCTGCCCGTGTGAAGTTGCTGGCTTGCTGGGGTGGTCCCTACAAAGCAGCGGCAGGCAGTAAGAGGCTAAAACACCCAGAATGATGGACGACTTCCCCCTCAGAACCTTCCTGCCTGGGGATGCACGTGAGAAAGGCCTGAGTGAAACCTGGACCCTTTGTGGATACTGACAAGTGGAGGCACTTGTGTCTTGAGCTATACAGGAAAGTGAAAATCACAAAACCCTGGGATCAACTTTTACTGAACGTTTCCACACCCTGGAGTCAAAGATAAAGTCATTAATTGAATTACGAATCATTACAAGAACTTTCAATGGGAAACACTGATGTATACAATCTATTTATATTGAACATACAACTACCTACAATAGGTTAATTTTTTTTCCTTCCATCTTATTACAAATCTAAACTACCTTCACAGTTCATTTTTAGGCTTATGGTTTCAAATTATATCTATTTTTATATAGTTTAAGAGTATCCCCAAGAGATTGCTGGCATTAAGGTAAAGCTGAGATATCTATTCACATGCAGACACCCAAGGGACACAGTGTTTACTCATAGGACATACTGTTCATACTTGAAGGTCAGTTGCTCTAGGAGGAGTGGGGAGTGGGGCTGAGGGAACCCTCACTTGATGTTCATGTGTCTTCCACCCTAATGACTCTAAGAGCTAGTTTCTAGAACATGGGCTGCTCTGAATATGTCTGGTTCCACTGGGGGCTCTCTGTAACCTCTCCTCTCTGAATGCATGATGCATTCAATTTTTTTAAACAAATCAATATAGTAAGACTACTCCAATTCTTTCAACTACCTGTGCCAAGTCACTGCTGCACAGTTCTCAGCTGTGTCCCTGTGATACATTTTCTGCTGGAAAATTCCCTTTAGTCTAATGACGGCTGCTTTCAGTTTCTTGAATTCATCCATATACCTTGTATGACTGAGTTATCACAAGCATAGCTTGGGAGGACTTGCCAACCTCTTAGAGCTCATTCTTTGTAACTTTTCCCTTCAATTCTACATTAAGTAGAGTCATAGGGACCAAAAATTTGGCCCATGGCAAGCAAGTAAAAAGTATTATATCCATACTAGAGATTTGAGCCTTCTCTTGAACGATATAGCAAGAGTTTGAGACCAACTGGAAGCCATGTATTGTAAGGGAGTCTTACGTAATGTGCTAGTTACCAGCTCCATCTGGCTATTCGCTAATTTTCTAACAGTAGATCTGGCAAGCTAGCTGTTCAACTCACTATCTTCCGTGGAGAGTTTTGTGTTGAGAATTCTCTACTGAACGTGGTGATGACTTAGGTCTCCTCCAGCAGAGTGACTGCTCTTCTGGCCGCATATACAAAGCCGCCTCCCCCTGGTACGTTGGCTTTGTTGAGTCACCATCCAGTGGATCAGATCCTGAATAACTATCTGGGTGATTTTTACATACACTTGCCACTTGGGATTTAGAGAACTTTCCAGAGGACAAAAAGCATGTCTGATTGCTTCCTACTAGGTCTTAAATCTAAATATGGGGTCTAGCAAATTGCACTGAATTCAAATGACCTGGCTATGAGCTCTGTTTTCTTGGTTTGGAGAAAGGTAAAGTGATCCTTGTTGTCAGCATTGTCTTGCTTTGTTTTGAATGATAGAAGGCTACTCTCCTTCTGTGTTCTCGCTAGTTTCATCTAAGTCTGTAATATTTACTGTCCATCTGCCATTTGTCTGAAGTCTGGCTCTAGTTTTAACTTCCTTTACTGAATTTTTACTGAGTTCTACCATCCAATGCATAGACATATACTCACTACTCAGTAGACCTACAATATCCTGAGATGAAAGGTAACATTTACTGGATTCTGGTTATGCATTGAGTAGAATCACTGTGGTTGTGTGCGTCAACTCAATCTTCACAACAATCCTGTGATTCAGATATTTCCTAGAAAAGGAAATCAAGCCCCAGAAAGATTACAAGTGACTTTCCTAGTTACTAAGTGAGGAAGCAAAGATTGAAGTTAAGTCCCCTCTGATTCCATAGCTTCCTTACGTGGCTTCAAGCTGACCCTGTCTGGCTAGACACCTGCAATTCTTCGGTCACAGGAGTGTGTGTTCTGAAGTACAATTTGGAGACCCAGAAATTAACATAAATGGCTGATCTAGTCCTAATTCTCTACATTTTTATGTCTTTTCTTTAGATAGCCCTTGGGGTAGTGAATTCATTTTTTTTCCTGTGATAAGAACTGCTATTTCTGTTTAAGTGCTGCTGGATTTGGAAATCATTCTCATGACTAAATATTTGTTTGCCTCATAAGAGCCCAGCGTAGGGCTATGCTGCCAGTGGGTGCTCAATAAAGATTAATGGATGGCTGTGCACGTCTGTGTGGGAGTCATGTGCTTCGGATCTGCTCGATTCTGCGAAAGAGACAGAAATGATGTGGGGAAGGTGACAAATCGCAGGATTGTCACCCCACCCAGCCCATGGGTTTCTGTATTTGACTTTATCAGTTAGCAGTCCCAAAGGTGCAGGTGCAAAATGAACAGGGGACTATGGAGCCTAGTGCTTTTTTGAGAAGTGATGGGAAATGCTGTGAAAATTAGATTCCAGGGCTTGCTTCCACAATTAATATCAAATATGAGAGGAAAGTTGGTCCCCTAATGAGGACTGAAAAGAATCAAATATTTTTTTAATTGACACATTTTTCTATTATTATATACATAGAAAGACGATGAGTAATATGCCATATCAGATGGTTTATTCAGACTGTCAGAACAAGGGCTGAAGCGTGAGTAACTTTCCCGAGATCCTTCTGAGAAATTCAAGCAGTGGACAGTGGCAGCCACCAGCCAAGAGTTCATCCACAGCCCAGTAGTCCCTGAAAATCTTGGAGGAACCAAAAAAAAAAAAATGTTTCTCCCAAAAGTACATGGCGGGACAGTTCTAGAAAAAGAAAGGTGCTGTAACATTTAAACTCACTTCACTAAAAAGCCAAATGTCCGTGCCCTGCCCAGGTTTGTGCACTCAGTGGACAGCCTGGGGTCAGCTGTGTGATCTGGGAGGTAATGTTCTCACAATGAATGATAACTATTGAACACAAGTCCAGATCTCAGCAGAACTTTGAGATGTTAGAGCTCTCACTTACGAAATCAAGCTGTGCATTGGCATTAGAGAAGGGAGGAGGAGGAAAGCCTGGATGACTGAGAAGAGTACCACAGGCTTAGGCTGGGATGCTATACACTGATACTGAGGTGTAGAGGAAGGTGTACAGCAAATGCCCTGAATGGCCCCTATTCCACTCCAGGCTCTGGGTCTCAGTCTCACCATCTGCCAAGTGAGCGAGGAGAGACTAGCTTTCTAGGGCCCATTCCAACTGTCCTGTTTCATCCTTGTTGTGTTCTTCTATGAGATGAGCATTCTTCAATGGGAAAACTCCATGTGTCATGAGGTTTGGAGTGAGAATTTATTTATACAATTCTACCTTAAAAAAAAAAAACTTTCCTTTTATCACCCACTAAACTCTCCTTAGCAATAAAGTAGTCTTATGACTCTTGATCATTTGGTGTATCCAGGACAATTTTATTTCATTAATACATGACCCTCCATTGCTGCCCCCACACGTAACCATCTTGTTCCTGCAAAGAAAGGTGACTTTGAGAAGCCACTCAGAAGATGTGTTAGGTCTTGGAGCTAGGAGAGGACTTACTATGTGTTTTTGGCTTAAACATATGAAAATAAGGCAGCACATGGTGAACAAAAATAGAGTGAAATATATGTGTAATTATGTCCAAGATAAAGACACATGTATATAAGACTACTCCCCTCAAATAGAAGTGAAAGGTTTGAGAAGTGAGAAGGATGGCTTCCCAGTAGCAGGAGCAGCGGCTGTGTCAGCAGCAGGGGAGGGAGAATGCAGAGTCGGGAGACCTGGGCCTGGCTGAGCCCCACAACCCAGCGCCTCAGTGTCCATTCTCCCAGGAAAGATCTGATGAGCTGCTGATATTTCTCTTAAAAGAATCAATGCACCTTTGTTTCTTTCTGCCTTCTCTTTTGACCTTATTTCGTTCTGAAACGGAGAACGAGGAAAGACAGAACTGAACTGGTAGGGTGGGAAAGGGGGTAGGCAGAAGGCACAGAGGAGGTGCCAGTCCAGCCGTGGAGCCCACAGACAAGATCAAAGGCCCCCAGTCGGCACCTGGGATGGTATTGTTTGCTTGCTATGTATTTGTTCCTGCTTCTCATTTCCATTCTCGCCCTGATGTAATAAGTCACCGTCTTCCCAGCCATCATCCGCGTATTGACAAGCAAATGTCACCCACGTTTGATTGACATCCATTGCTCCTGAATGCAAAAGTATGATTTACGAATCAATTCTCCTTGTTTATTTAAAGCCGTTCTCATGTGTCTTATGTATTTGTTGGTGGGATCACTTGCCTAATACAACTCTGGGAGACTTCCATTAACATTATAAATCCAGGCTGTTGCTTCCCCTGCTCTGTCACTGCCAATGGGGCCTCTTCTTTTTCACAGTTTGCCAATTTCCCCCCTCTCCCCATAACGTACACGCAGGAAATGTGCTTTGGAGCTTACAGGACTCTTCCCGTATCTTAGGAAAAAGACCTTGCCCAGTACTTTTGTGAACGCTGCTTGCTTTATTCGAAGACTTTTGAGGGCATCTTGACAAGGAATTATTTTTCATGCGTGAGAAATACCTGTAAGTAGATGCAACTTAGGTCCAATGGCTGAATCTCCTAAAAGGTTACTAGAATTGTAAGCCTGTGAATAGAGTAAGTAGGTATAAACTCACCATTTGCAGCGTTTGTAGAAAGAACCACCCCTACCCCGCCTTTGTGCGGTGGGCAGGTTCATTTAAAATCTTTGAGAACCATCCTTTGCCTTTTCAACACACCTTACTGTTCTCTGGGTAACATCTTATTTCATTTTGGAAGGCTAGAGAGGAAAACCATAAGGTTAAAAAAATCACATCTACCATCTGGAAAATTCTAAAGGGCCCTCCTTATGTTAAAAGTGGCATTTTGAAAAAAATAAAACAAAACACCACACCTGAAACGCTGATTGTGGGTGAGCCATTAGAGAAATATTGTCAGTCCAACCACCCTCCTTTCAACCTTCAACTCCACCCTCCAACTGGGGCTGCAGGCAGTGGGGAAGTGGGGGACTTAGGTGTGACTCTTGAGTTCTGAAGGCCACCGCACATCTGTCTCCCCCCCCTCCCCTCCCCATATGTCCAGCGAGAGCGCTGCCATCGCCTGGGTTCAGCAAGGGAGTGTTCGGGATCTCACTGTTCATCCATGTGCAGAGAGGGGGAAAAAAGAGAGGCCGAGAAAAAAAAAAATCCCACATTGTCAGAGTAATGCCAAACTCTCTTTGAGTGGGATGAGCAGAGCAGATGCCGCAATGAGATGCCAAAGCGGCTCCCCTTCCTCTGCGCCTTGGGTGCCTATAAATTGCTCCGGCGCGCGTTTGTCAGCCTCCTCTTCTCCTGGCAGGTGGTACCCAGGCAGAATTCTGCGTTCAGTCTCTCTCTCGCTCCGCTCCCGGCCGTGAGGCGCTCGCCGCTGCTCGCCAGCTCCGCCGCTCCAGCCCGGAGCCTCGCCGAGCCGCCCGTGCCCAGAGCCGCCGCTCCGCGCACCCGGGGGGCGCCTGGCCCGAGCTCGCGCGGCCGGCGCGAGGTTTTGGGGGTGCGCATCTATTAGAGTCCTGGTGGTTGCTAAGGAGGGAAAGAGGGGGGAAAAAGGCACAAGGGCGATCCCAGCGAGCGAAAGAAGAGGAGGCAGAAAAAGGCAACTTCAGACGGAAAGTTGGTGCGAACTGGCGCAGTCGGCAAAAACGGAAAAGTCGATCGCAGGCGGCGGCGGCGGCGGCGACATAAAAGTGTGAGCGGCCCTGGGCGAGCGCGAGAGGCGGCGGCTGCTCTGCCCTCCGGGTGGCCGCGCCGGCGCCCGCGGCAGCCACAGGTGCGAAGGGGCTCGCGGGAGGCGAGAGGGCGCCCTGCGCTCCCCTCCCCCCGCCCCCACCCCCAGCTCGGGACTTCAGCTCAAGTCACTCGGCGTCCGAGCTCCCTCCCCAGCCGCAGCCTCAGCGGGGGGAGCGAGAGCAGGCGAGGAGCGGCCGGCGCGCGCCCGCCCAGGGGACTTGGGGTTCGCAGGGGGTTGTTTTCGGCTCTGAGGAGGTCCCCGCCCAACCTTCAAAATTTTGTCCAAAAGCAGACAAGAGGATCGCCCCGCGCTGAGCCGGCTGGTGGGCAGCAGGAGGCGCCTGATCGCCGCCGGGGCGCTGGGGGTGGTGATGGTGCTGCTGCTGGTCATCCTCATCCCGGTGCTGGTGAGCTCGGCCGGCACGTCGGCGCACTACGAGATGCTGGGCACCTGCCGCATGGTCTGCGACCCCTACGGGGGCACCAAGGCGCCCAGCACGGCCGCCACGCCCGACCGCGGCCTCATGCAGTCCCTGCCCACCTTCATCCAGGGCCCCAAAGGCGAGGCCGGCAGGCCGGGGAAGGCGGGCCCGCGGGGGCCCCCGGGTGAGCCCGGGCCGCCGGGCCCCGTGGGCCCCCCGGGCGAAAAGGGCGACCCCGGCCGCCAAGGCCTGCCGGGCCCGCCCGGGGCGCCCGGCCTGAACGCAGCCGGGGCCATCAGCGCCGCCACCTACAGCACGGTGCCCAAGATCGCCTTCTACGCCGGCCTCAAGCGGCAGCACGAAGGCTACGAGGTGCTCAAGTTCGACGACGTGGTCACCAACCTCGGTAACCACTACGATCCCACCACGGGCAAGTTCACCTGCTCTATCCCAGGCATCTACTTCTTCACCTACCACGTCCTGATGCGCGGAGGTGATGGCACCAGCATGTGGGCTGATCTCTGCAAAAACAACCAGGTGAGTGCGGGCAGGCAGCGGGGAGGGCGGGGAGAGAGCGCGGGAAGGTGCAGGCGAGAGGGAGGAGACCCCGGAAATGAGGGTGGGAGCCCGAGGAGGAAGGGCGCGGCAGCTTGGCTCTCGGGAGCCACGAGCGAGGGGGGAACGCCGTTCCACCCAGGAGAGGCGGGGGTCCTACGCCAAACGGCGCCGGGCGGCCTGGAGAGAGTGGTTCCTGATCCCAGGAACCTGCACTAGGTGCGCGCGACCCCGGAGGGGCGGGAAGCCGGGAGTTCGGTCCCCTGGACAGCTTGTGCACCGCGGGGTGTCCCGAGCAGAAGGCGACCCCGGGCTGCGGGATCCTCAGCAGTGTGGAGTCTGTGTCAGGCTTTGCGGGGAATGGGAGGGCTGGGGGAGCCAGGAATGGGCGTGCCAGAGTGACAAATCCGGGGAAGAAAGGCCGGGACCCGGGGGAGGAAAACAGAGGCCCAAGGGAAGAAGAAGAGGCGCGAAGCAGAGTCCAGGCGGGGCGCATCCAGGGCCGCCAAGGCAGGACCACGGGTCCGGCGGTCGCAAGGCCCCTGTGGCGTCCCAGGTCGGGGAAACGAACATACAGTCAAACTCGAGATGCAGACTCCGGTTTAGATTTAAGCCGAAGAAGGGGGAGAGCTAATGAGTACTGACAACAAAGGGAAAAGTTGAGGCTTGTGGGTTTGCGCCGTAAAACACGCGCCCAAACGCAGAACCCAAACTCCACTGGCTGGAGCAGCAGGACGCACAGGCAGGTGGCCAGGAGGCCGGGGGGCCGAGCCCAGCCCCGGGACCATGGGCTTCACCGCCAGGGAGCCCCCGGGCGCCTGCGTGAGGGTCTTTTCAACCCAGCCTTTTGCTCTCAACAAAGGCCTTGGCTTTGACTGTGAAAAAGCCTCCGACTAGCCCTCAGCCGGCCGGCCGGAGGACTTGCTCCCCTGAGTGGGTCGGCCCTGCCACAGGGGCCACGGATCTGCAGTGTTAGGTCGGAGCCACTTTCCCGTTTGCTTGAGAGATTCGCTGTCATCGTGAAACCAAGGTGTGTTTGGTTTCTTAGTCAGAGGAGGAAAATAATTTTTGTAATTACCCGAAAGTGTCATCAGACCCTCTGCACGCGCTGAACCGGCGGCGGCTGGTGGAGGCCCTGCAGCCCGGAGTCTGGGTTGAGTCCTTGGGCTTTACCTTTGCTTACTGGGTGGTGCCGGGAGTGACCCGCGACCCTGCCGGGGCCGGTTTTGATTTCACAAGGGCTCTCCCGCTTCAGGTCACTTGCCCCTTGAACGCAGATCTTCCTGGCCATAATCCAGGTTTCTGTTAAGCAGCATTAAAGCAGAATTTATTCCAAAGACCCAATTCAGTGTCAGAATTCTTCCAAGGTGAAAGGCGAATATCCTAAATGTATAAGAGAAAGGACAAAATACCCTGTCCCTCCCCCTTCCTACCACTTCTCACTTCTAGAGGAATTCAGAAGTAAGTATCTTAAGGGACCCTAAGGTCGGGTAGAACAAAAGAGGGGAAAATGGCCACCAGGAGGCACTGACAGGGTTGTTTATTACAGTTATTACGCATGAAAATAATATTAAGATATATAAAAATTATTACAGAGTAGTGGGATAGTTATAGGTAAGTGGCTAAAGAGGGCATGACTCACTGTACCAAAATAGAGCTATTCTGTCACACTAACAAAATGGTTTTATGAACAGCCCCTGAGCAGGCAGCAAGGAGGCACCCATTTATTTACAAATTGGCTGTCTTCTGACTCAAAGGTTAGGTCTGGCAAATCCTATCAGGCTGAAGAGACTGTTTTTAGAGGTATTCATTCAAATGGAATTAAGATTCCAGTTTTACCAGCCAAGAGATAAAAGCACACATCTTTAAGCATCTGGAAATTGCAGTTGCATGAAAAGCCAGGGAATGGTACGTTAAATTAGATTAAATGTTGATCCTGAATCCAGATATAGATTCCAAAAAAACCATTCCATGTATGTGTTCTAGGTACATTTTGTTTTTAAAGTTATTTCCTTGTTTGGAGTGTAGAGTTCTTTGTATTGTCCTGGCGTGTACATTCTGTGAGGTTCAGGGGGATAAAAGGCAAAAAAGCTGACCTTTTAATCTTTAATGCTTCCCATTGGCATTATTAAGCTGCTGTTTCTACAAAAGGTGAGCAACAAGTAATTCAGAAAAGCAAATACAGTAGATTTTCTAGTTTAGCATGGACTATTTTGCAAAAGGGCTATTGCAATATTATTGTTAAGGAATTTTATCTCTAGAATAGACCTATTTCGTAAAGTCTGGTCTGCAGGCAGTTGCAAGTGAGAAATCCTATCAAATCTTTTTTTAATTAATCTTAAGTAAAGAGTTTATCCTTGATTTTCAATTATGCTCTTGTCTGATCACTTCTTAGATGGCAGTTTCCCCCCTCTGAGCTGACCTAATTTGTTTTCATAAAACAGAAGCTCAGAGATCCATGTCAGTGTGATGTTCTATGGATTAAGTGGATTTGAGAAACACACAAAAAATTAAACTAAAATTGCAGTTCACTCTAGGATAGAGGAATGCCCCTGGTCCGTAACCATATGAGAACCGCTTTATTTATGCTTTGTGTTGAATGCAGGATCACAGATGGAAACATCAAAGGCCAGTAAATTAACCTAATGCGCCACTTAACCTTTTGTTTATGATTCCACAGAAGTACAATGAAAATGAAATTATGAGAACATCAGTCGCAATTAATTAAATTAGCAAATGTTGCCATAAATATTGTCTCTAATGATAAACCCTCACTAATCAGATAATGCGAAGGCAACATGACCTATTACATCCTCACAAACACAGCACTAAAAGGACCACAGTTCTCATATCCCCCGTGAAACCATCAACCGAAATTTGATCTTATCATGTGTTAAGAGCCCATGACAGTGCATATTAAAGGTATAAGTTGGACTCAAATAGCTTTACATGGAGATGGGAAATATTTAAGTGTTTGTATACTTTTAGCAGGAAACCTGAATAAAAAACACTGCTATTTGAATCCAGCCACTATAATACCACTCTGATAAGCCACTAATAAAAACTAAAACTGGCTCAAGACTAGAACTATAAAATAATTAAAGACCAATTTTTATACTGAGAATTTATTAGTTGTGGCACCAATGAACATGAGAGATACTGGAAACAATGGACAGTTTGTGGGCTGATACTCATTTATTAGCAAGATTAGTGAAATGTCAAATTAGTTATCTTTTTAGGGCCTGTGAAATGTGCACTAAAGATCAGCAGAATCTAAATAGTTAACTTATAAGATGAAAAGATATTAGAGTACATTTAGGTAGAAATGGGTATGTCAGGCTAAGGAAAGCGTGCATGCATCCATCCTATTCTTAGAGAAAATGCTGAAATCAGTGTACATTTAGGAACCCGAAAATAGCCTCCAGGGTGGATACATTACCTTCCTCAATAGTTTGATGGCTCAAAGGGAAAATTGTTGGCAGGTACTGGGCTGAATACCAGAGCTTAAAATTTCAAGTCCCATTATACCTCTAGAGCACGATCAGGTGAGCAGGTGTACTAAAATCGTGCAGAGTACGCTGGAGTGCGGCAGGTATTTAATTGGGAGAGTCTTATGGTACGGTATAGGTTAAAATCTCAGAGAATCACTTCCATTAAAAAGCAGCCACACTGGCTTTATCCAACAAAGGATGTGAAAACCGTAAGGATAACCTTCCAGTCTGCGGGATCACACCCATACATTTGCAGGTTTTCGTGGTAACACCTACTGAATAAAAATGGTCACATTTCCATGGGCTTGTGGTTATACCCTATAGAATAAAAACTGCATTTCATATATATATATGCATTTCATATATATGAAATATATATATATATATTTTTAAGATTGCTGTCTCTAAATCAAGTGATTTTAATAAATCCCAGTTCCCAAATGTCCTCACTTAGCAAACAGTATTAAACCACAATACCCATGGAACTTAATACTAAAAACCTAAAGCACAAAATAAAAATGTGCCTGGTTATTAATAATAGGTGAGAAGCATATTCTGGATTGATAATTAATATATTACTAATATGGCTAATTTTTCTTTTGTATTTTAATTTTTCTCACCCATTAGAAATTACACATTAAAAAAAAAGTCAGTTCGAAAATAGTACTACTCTTCTTGTCAATTTTTTTTTTCCCTCTGGAAATTAATGACTAGTTGACATTAATGAATCAGAGCATCCAGCTCCTCCAAGCTTGTGATTAATTCTTAGGAAATATTATGACATTAAATTGTATTATTACTTAATAGTCAAAACAGATCACCTCACTAAATTGATGTATACATTAAAGCCTGCTTTTGAGTATAATTACATGGTATATTGCTTTGTTTATTAGTGGCCAGTCAGCACAGTGTTAAGTAATTCTATATCTTTTGAGGCCTTTCTTTTCTCCTTTTGCTATATGATATCCAGAAAGAAATTTTTAAACTACTACTCAAATTACTTTACAAGTTCAGCAGTGTCAAAAAGCCTTCTCCTTTTTTAACATTTCAGCATTAATGTGAGAACGTACCACATGAAAATTTAATTTGCAAACCTATCATTTAAATTTTGAAAGAAAGGCAGAGAAATTCTTGGCTTAGGTCTCATTTCCCTCATTTTGCCAAGTGATAGAATCCAGCATATTGTACCCCAAGTCATGCATTATTACATAGAGCAGGTTTACAAAACCACTAAATCACTTGCTATGTTATTCAGGGAAATATCATTACAGTAGAATAGAAACAAGCCACAAAGTAGATGTTTTACTGCAATAAATCAAGTACAAGTCTGCCTATTGAGAAATTTTTTTCCAAGGCAGAATTAAAATATAGCTAAATGGATATGAAGCCTAGTTTGAGTTGAGGATTTGACAGAATGTTCGTATTACTTGATATGATAGGCAATTTGACTGTTTGCAAATGTCTGTCAGCTCCCTAATGAGATCGCGGGCTCAACTTGGGTGGATTATAAGCATCTATCCTCAAAGCAAAGCAAACACTTAGAATCACCTAAATGTAAGAGGGTATTCCATGAGATCATTCAAAAATTCTAGAAATTTTAGAGACTTCAAATCATGGAAATTTAGATCCTTCTATAACTTTTAGATATGTTGACATTAGATAATTTAAGTGTGTGCATTACAATGAAGTGATAAAAAGACACAAATAGGAAAATGAACTCTGGAAACTTGAGTGATAGAACCAAAGATGTCTAAATGAGTTAAGCTTCGGGTACGGGGGGGTTTTCCTTGAATTTAGATTTTGGAAGCCCCAAATCAAAAGGATTTCTTCTTTTTTTTCTTCCTGTATGGTAGAGTAGTGGTATTTCTCCAAGTCTTTACGTACTGTGGATTTCAGTTTTCTAATAGTCATGAGGACCAACTGCAGTCTGGATTGAACTTCCGTCCTCATAAACAGCTGGTTAGAATATAGCTGCTTGACTTAAATTAAAATGCAAAAATTACTATTATTTCCATTTCAAAAACTCATTGGGCACAGAGATACAAGGAATTCAAAAAAAAGTAGTGATTTAGGAAGAGAGCAGATTATTGGTATGCATTGTTTACAACATACAGTAAAAGAAAAAATAAAAGACTGCTAGAATGACCCTCACAAAGCACTGTTTTCTCCTTTCCAATAACATAAGTGAAACTCTTACAAAGATATCCTCATAAAGCCTCAAGGCCGAGGTGTACTTTCCTGTGCTAAATTCTGTGCTTTGACAGCCACTCTGCTTACGATGCTGTGTGAATGGGGGAGGGGGGGAGCCCTGAGAATTCTCTTACAAATTCTAACTCTTGTCTGCTTCATGTAGGTGCGTGCCAGTGCAATAGCACAAGACGCTGATCAGAATTACGACTATGCGAGTAACAGCGTGGTTCTCCATTTGGAGCCGGGAGACGAAGTCTACATCAAATTAGATGGCGGGAAAGCCCACGGAGGCAACAACAACAAATACAGCACATTTTCTGGATTTATTATCTATGCTGACTGATCACGCAAAAACTAAGCTGATGATTCTGAGTTTGGACACTGGATTCGTATGGCTAACGTCAGTGAATCGAGGATCCCAGGGGATGCCAGATGCAGGGCACCTCAGTTGTGTATATGTGGGGAATTCAAATGCTACCTGATTCACATCTGTATACTCAGAAACATGTAAAAAAAATATTAAAAGCAAGATAAGCAGATGTGTGATCCACTACCGCCAAAGCAAATACTCCTTATCGTTAGTGTCCATGTGAATGAAGTCCTATATAGATCACAAATTTTTATAGAAAAATCTAAGACACGGAATTATTTCTTCAATATCTATGATACTTTGGTGTACTGTGATCTTGCCGCTTTTATCCATGTGTCAGCTTTGGTTCTTGTGAGTTTACTTGCTTATTACGATACTCGGAGTCCATTCATATTGTGGGAAGAATGATTTTTTACCCTGCAGGAGACAGTCTAATTGAAATAATGCTGCTTGTCCCCAAAGAAATTGTTTGCCTTGTCCTCTTGTTAACTTTAGAGCTAGACCTGGGAGTGATTCAACTTCAAGCCTTAACCTGGAATTTTCTGGATCTGAGGGAATTCCCAAGCCTATGATCATTTTTTCACATTTTCTTTTTCCTATGAATTTTCTTTCCTCTCTTTTCTGGTGATAGTCTTTAAAAAAAAAAATGGAGACTGAAATTGTATCATAGGATGACCCTCTAAGTGTGAAAATGTGTAATTATGTGTGGTATTTAGAAAATCCCCCGTGTCTGGTTTGTCAACAGAATGTGTTTAGATTTACTTGGAAAGTCAGAGAAGTTTATTCTTTGGTGTTAAATTCAGACTGAGGCTTTCGCCTTCTTTGGAACACAAGATTATTCATAACCCAACGCACCTAGGTTTAATTTGCATGCGTCACCAAGGGGACACTAAGTAAGGCCTTCAAATAGTTACTACAAGTCATGGCCTGAAGTTATTTCAAAATGAACGATTTCACGTATAACCAATATGACAACAAAGTGTATATATTTTATACAAATACCTGCTACATATATATGTATGTATATATGTGTTAGATGAAATATAATACATATATGGCTTCAGACCATTGACACAGTGGCTGTAGATCCCCAAACATTTAATTTTTAAAAATGTATGTGTATGCTCACACACAAACATGCACAAATCATTTGACTTATTTTGGATTGAAATATATTTTGGAAGATGAAAAATATAGAGAGTAGCAAAATAATTTAAATGGCTTCTCTTTTAAGAGTTATCCAGAAAATTAAATCTTATTAGGTTAAAATGCCCCATAAGTCACATGTCTGTAAATTAAGCCTATGGCTTTATCTTTATCACGGGATGCCAATCAATATTTCTGCTGCGTCCTGTGGCCGACTGTTACTGTTCGCAATGCAGAGACAAAGAATAGTTGTCCTTCGCAATGTTTGTGAATTACCTGCAGTGGAATTATCAGTTTTTTTCTTTTTTCTCGGGTGATCTGAAGCTGACTGTAAAGTAGATTTTGAGAGTAGTGCAAATCCTTCCTCTCTGGTTAAAGGACACTGCCAAAGCCATCTCTTTAAGAAAAAGATTTAAGATTCTTATTGAGATATCCTAATTACCAGACAACTTCCCCTATGACAATGAAAAATCTGTTCCATTCTCAGTTGCCTTTGAAGACTCTTTGACAAGTAGATTTCAAAAACAAGAGATTTCAAAATCTGCCTGTTTTACTGACAAAGGACATTTGCATTTTTTCATTTAAAGGAATTAGTCTTTGTTCTCCTGGCTCATTCCTCTTGGGTACTTTCTGTTCTAATACACAGAAAGCTTGATCATGTTTGATCCACAGAACCATTTTTTATTTAGCAAACCTCAACTTTCCGAAAGAGTTATGCCTGGTGTTCCCATCTGAAGGTGCTGTTTGCTCGGTTTAAACACCTTGGTCGGAGTAACTGTCATGATTGATAAAGATTAAAAACACTTAGCCTGTTCATCAAGAATAATGACTATTTCTGTTTGGCCTTTCTACTACGTAAGATAACATAAGGGAGTTGCAATGGATTTTACTTCCATTTAACTATATATTTGTCGAAAAGGAATTAGCAACAAGGGTTTGAGGTTTTGGGTTGTTTTTTTTTTAGGTGATAAATAGCATAGTGAAAGATTCCACCAAAAGATTAGTTTATAAACAGCAGTGCACATCAACTAAGAGTTTTAACTAAGAGTTTCACAAAAGGCTTTATTTACAGAAAACATCAGGGCTGGATACCTTTTAAAGAGTCGGCTCTGGAATCAGACTGTCATTTCTAATAGATCTGACCTTTTCTTCAGATAAATAAGCATTATTTTCTCTGTTTAGGCCCAAGGAAAAACAAAAGGTAAAGGACATAAAGGGAATATATATATAAGGCAAACATTTCTCTTTTTTTTTTGCATTATATATTATTAATTAAATTGTGGCCTTTGTTATTATAAATGTAATGATTCATTAAACTATATTATGTAATATATTTTGAATTTTATGATTGGGTTTTTATAATTGAGTACTATGTTATGTGTTTATGTCCCCCTTACACAAATTTTAGGAAACACAACCAACTTTATAGGAAAATGGATACCAGAAAGCCACAGGCAACAAGAGAGATTTATTATAAGTATGTATAGATAGGTGCCCAGCATATAATCAACCTCCCACAATATTTTTACCATTTTGAATTGGTAATTGTAGTAGAATATCCTTTGAAAAAAAAAAAGTCTCAAAATTTAACTTTCCTTGCTGCAGAAGCTATCTTAAAGTGCCATATTATTCATTACGCATTAATTAAAGAACAGCAGGGTAATTAGTAGAATCATCAATATTACCGGAAACATTAGATTGCTCCAGACGGGGGTAATTTGACGAGAAACACTTTAAATTTTCTCAAGTAGAGTGTGGCTAATAGATTAAGAAAGCCAAACAAAAGAAAGCAAAGCTCCACTAAGTGGGTATAGACTATAAATCATTGTTTGGAAATCGGGACCTTTGTATTTATTTTGGTAAGGAGAAACAATAGGGCTTAATTAGGCTTAGTTAACTCCCTAAAGGTGCAGCCTTAACGGCCAGTTTCTGAGAAGGTAGAATCCTTCTCATTCTCATAAAAAGGAAATGCTCTGTGATTAGTCCTGTGTGGCTCCGATGAATAGCTCAAGGCGGGTTTGAACTCATTGTACGTTCCTTGCAAGCTTTACAGTCCAGGTGTGAATGTGTAACACTCGTCCTACTTGAAAGTGAGCCATCGCTTAGGGTTCTCGATCAGTATCTTATCAAGTGCGTCCTCAGTTATACCTCTGAGCAACATTTTAGGAACGATGTTGGTGAATATGTGAGAATAGCCGTGACCTCCGTATTTTGTCAGCCGATGTTTCGTGTGTATATCGTGGGCCATCAGAATTCGGTCTTCATAGCCCTCGTCCACCAGAAGACGCACCCTGTGAAAACACGTTCACTCATGATGTGGCGTTGGTCTCACATTTACAGTTCTCAGGATGCTTTAAACTTTTTACTCCTAAACCTGCTGTGTTGTAAAGATACCATCTTCCACTGTGGCACGTGTCCTGGGAGACCCTTAATCCGTGTTGCGTGGTGATGATAAAGATATTACCGCATCCGAGTCGGAACGTGACCCTTGTTCCCTGCACACAGAAATTTCTAGCCTGTGATATTTATGACCATGCCTGGCAATACTGCATTCAAGATAGCTTCTAATAAATAGGATGTGCCTGTTTGAATAAATGGCCACTTTAGCATTTTATGAAATAACTGTATTCTGGATTCATACCCAGCTCTCCATTCTAAAATTCCCCTCTTCGTGGGTCCATTTTTCAGATCTCATTCTCTCTGTTTCTCCTTTTTTCTAGCAAATAAAATCAATGACTATTTGTAGTTAAAATAGGGAAACCAAAGGAATCTTTGTACAGGTAAAACATTCTGACAGTAAAATCAGCTGGTTTGAAAATGAAGGGCCTATGCTGAGATAGTTAAATCACTTTTAAAAGGTCAGTTATGGTCCCTCTGCATCAGTCCCTTTGAAACTGTTGGGAACTTTGACTTAGGAGCAGTCTCGGAGCAGTGGGTGAAATTGGCCAATGAAAATCAGCTCTGCGTTCCTTCCATTTCAGCAAGATGGCTACAACTAACTGGCTGCTCCTTTAAATGTATAGTCAGTTGACTAAGGAACGGCTTCCTGCCTATTGTCTAAACACCTAATCCTCTTTGCTTCGTTAACTGCTGTAATCTGTAGTGTGAGTCACCTCCTGACAGCCACCATCTGTATGTGTCTGGATGCTGGGCAGTGTCTGCCGTGACTTCTATGAGTCTCTGACGGCAGGAGATGCAACTTGGAGACAATGCCTGGTCTCTGGCATTTTTTCTCTAGTCTTGTCAGTCTCTAGATTCCCAAATGGACTGACAGCTCCTTCCTCCAAGGGCTAATTATTTGGAAGGTGATTTTTGTTAGTTTGTTTCCATAGCATTTCTGGGCATTCTAGTGCCTGAGTCATCTTTAAATAGCTACTACAGTCAGCAAGATGTGGACCACTACACCAAAAAAAAAAACAAAAAAACAAAACAACAAAAAACTCAAGCACACAGCCTTGCCCTCTGAGAACATACATTTTCAAATAAATCATACTTGAAGATTAGATCTTGTGTTTGTAGGTCAAAGGAATGCCAGAAAAGAGCCAACCTGGGCTTTCTGTCTAGAAATCTGCCCCAGGCGTGTCCTAAAAGTTCCTGGAGTGGTATTTGTGCCACTGTCATTACTTGCCTCTTTATTTCTTTTTATTGAGGTATAGTTGATGTCCAATATTATACGTTATAGACGTACAGTATAGTGATTCACAATTTTTAAAGGTTATACTATATTTATAGTTATTATAAAATATTGACTATATTCCTTGTGTTGCTAAATATATCCTTGTAGCTTATTTTATACCTAATAGTTTATACCCCTTAATGCCCTTCTCCGACACCCCCCATACCCCTGCCTGCCCCCTTAATAGGGGTAGGGCATTATTTGCCTCTTTAAAATTTGTATAATGTCCAAAAGTTCTGATCTGAAGTTACTTTTGAAACAAAGTCTCCTTAAGGGAATTATCTAAGACAATTGTATGATCATTTATGAAAAAAGAGGAGGTTGGAACAGATGCATACACAGTGCTAAAACTAAGTGTGACAAACCTTTATCCACAACTGAAAGGGAGTGTCACATTACAGGAAATTTTAGATTACACTTTTCCCTGCTTGTTTTCTGAGCATTTCTCAACGTTTTTGTCTCTTTTCCTTTGATGAAAAAAAAAACATACGCTATCTTATTCCTCCAGAGGCATATCGCAGAGATAGACAAATTCCTTCAAGAGGCCAGTGTCATCTCCTGAAATACAAAGATGTTGACTTGTGAAATAGTAAGGAAGGATACTCATTTGAAAATGGGAAACGTTAGAACTCGTCAAGTCAAGAATCTGGAGATGAGTTATCTCACGAGAAAGAGAACGTGATGGCTCTGGAAACCTAATTATATCCTACTATCAAGAAAAACTGCCTGGTCACTTCTAAAATAAGAGACCACCTCTCATGCTGTGCTATTGTGCGGAAGAACAGTAGATCCAGAGAAGCTGCCAGAAGGCAGGAACCACTACAGATGAGAAAACAACAGTAATTATAGAAATACAAATGAGCTAGTGTTTTGCAAACAAATATTAGAGAGAGACTACAAAGTGTGAAAAGGCAGCAATATAATAAGATTTGAGAAGTGGAGCAGAAGATTAAAAACAGGTGTTAGACACAGAATTTCTGGGGCTGAAAACCAGAGGTAGGCAGAGGAGTGCTTCTCTGTTCTCGTACTTCAAAGCTTTGAGATGACTGAGGCTCAGAGAAGGACTGCTGATGAATGATGAAATTCGAGTGCCCAAGATATGGGGACAAGGAAGTACTGGCACATGCACAACCCAAAAGGCCATTTAGTCATTACCGTGAGCTGTACTTGAGTCCAGTGACCTAATGCATGGTTTTAATTTATGAAGAATTAAGGATACGTAGATGCACAAATGCACATGTGCATATATGTAATTTTTGATGTATTTCCATACATACAGAAGGTTTACATTTGGCCCCGTGAAAATGGACCAAAATTAAGTTCTTGCTCTAGAATTGCTAGCTAAAGGTGCTAAGAAGGACTATTGGAGGAGATGCTGGTCATCCTTCCCGATATCGCCTTCATAGACTGCCCTCTGTAGATCCCCTCTCTTATTCCGGAAGGTCTGGGAGCCTCGTGGAAGGCGTAGAGGGGCAAGAAATGCACCTCACTGCGACAAAGCGCTTAGAGAAGGAAAGCAGGTCCTGGGAGCAAACTTGCTATTTCCAAGATGAGCTGTAACACGTGTGTCGAGGGCGTGTGTCAGGAAATTATGGTTTTGAGATCATGAAAGATGAGAAAGATCTACCACACCACCCCATTTTAAATTCCAGAGAACATTCACCTCTGAGTATGGTCCAAACTGGTAGGGCCCTTAGGAAACCTGTTTGTCTGTATTGAATGCTGCTCCTCCGCAAGTAAATCGAAATCATAAAACAAAACAGACAAACAAGAAACAATAAATCTGTTTGTCAAAGAACTGATCTGAGTAGTAACAACAACAACAACAAAAGGCTGACCTGTTGGTCAGGACAGTGAAAGCAGCTTGGTTATGCAGCGCTGAGGGTCTCCATATTTATGTAACTACCGTAACACTGATGGGCTAACTCTCTCTGATGATATTAAACTTGAAGCATATTTCGCTGTTAATGAGCTCATCCAGGAGGGGTGCCAATACACAGGGACAGCAGAAGGCATCATGTAAAGATGGACTTCCCAGGGGAAAGACCCCAAGGCTGTCTCAGCTGTGGCCACTGGCTCAAGACCTCCCCCTCAGCCCCAGTGTACGTATGTTACCTCCTGCTCCTTGAGCCTCACGCTTTCTGGACATCACTTCTCTACTCCGGTTTGGCTCACTCCCATTCCAACCAGTTTTCTACACCCAGAAGCCAGTTCTGCTGCTTGTCATCATGCAAAACTACTTCCGCTCTGAAACCTTCAGTTTCCCGCTCTGACCATGAGTTACATCTTTCTACTTTTTTGCTCACCTTCTTCTACTCTGTGTATTCACCCACTTCATCAAACCATCCAGGTGTATGCCCCTGCTGTGTTACTCCTATACATCTCTCCGTTTCTCTGTGCACTTTCTTCCCTCCAACTTGGACCTCAGGACTCTCAGCTCAACTCCTCCCTCATTCTCCCGGATATCAGCCATGTTTTTCAGACAGAGTCCCAAATCTTGAGCTCTCTGTTTACATCTTTTACTTCTACTCACAAAACTTCTTCAGTCCTGCTACCAAAACAAAACATTTTTAAGGAAAATAATCACCAAATCATGCATATTGGTGCCAATATATATATAGTCATGTAGTCATGATCTCTAGCCTCAACAGGGCCTTTCACACAACGTGTCCTTAGTCAGTATCTTAGTCAGTATTCATTCACTCAACATCCATTCCCAGCCTTCATCCTCCTCTACAACATCCTGCCCTGAATCCATTCTTTCTTTCTCAGGAGATGACCATGTCTCCTTCATGGGGACACTAAAGATCATAGTGGGGATCTATGTCCTCAGTTTCCTGTTCTTCTCACCAAGACATTGATCTGCATTCACCCACTGTTTGCCTTGCCTCCTTTCATTTAAATGGAGAAAGTATACCTCCTTTCAGCTGACTTTCTGTTGGCTTCCCAGATTCCATCAATTTGTCTCCTTAGGAGCCCTGCTCTATATCTCTAATCTGTCCAGATTTTTTTAAGTTACCATTGACCACTTCCATATTCCACCCCAGACACTCCTCTGAACGCTGTGTACTTTATTTCATACACATTCTAGAACATCCCTGTACAACAGGCATTACTTGGCTAGATTCATTCTCTCTGTCCATCTCTCTGCTTTTGCTCTCAGTCACATAAACATTGCTCAACTCCTAATAAAACCTTCCTCTGGTCCTGTCTGGTCTTCTAGCTCCAGCCCTATATCCCTGCTTCCCTTTGCTACCGAGCTTCTTGAAAGAGAACCCTCTGTGGTCTCTGTCCTCCTCCTCACTTCTACTCATCCCTCAAGCCTTTCCCACCAAGACTGCACTTGCTGATTCGGAAATGTGAACTTCTTGCTTGTGAAATCCAATGGATACTTTTTTAAAAAAACTGAAGTATATTTGATTTACAATGTTGTATTAATTTATGGTGCACAGCATAATGATTCAATTACATACATATATTCTTTTTCATTATAGATTATAAGATATTGAATATAGTTCCCTATGCTAGATGGTAGGACCTTGTTATCTATTTTATATATAGTAGTGTGTATCTGTTAATACCAGACTCCTAGTTTATCCCTCCTGTTCTTTCCCCTTTGGTAACTATAAGTTTGTTTCCTATGTCTGTGAGTCTGTTTCTGTTTTATAAGTTCATTTGTATCAGATTTTAGATTCTACATATAAGTGATATCATAATATGTTTGTCTTTCTCTGACTTCACTTAGTATGATAATCTCTAGGTCCATCCATGTTGCTGTGAATGGCATTATTTCATTCTTTTATGTGGCTGAGTAGTATTTCATTATATTATATATAATATTCCATTACATATATATTTCATCATATATACATATAATGGAATATATATATACATATACCACATTTTCTTTATCCATTCATCTTTTTTTTAATTGAAATATAGTCAGTTTACAATGTTGTGTCAATTTCTGGTACACAGTATGATGCTTTAGTCACACATGAACGTAGATTTGTTTTCATATTCTTTTTAACTACAGGTTACTACAAGATACTGAATTTAGCTCCTTGTGCTAAACAGTATGAACTTGCTGTTTATCTATTTTATATATATTAGTATCTACAAATCTTGAACTCCTGATTTATCCCTTCCCACCCCCTTCCCCCCCAGTAACCGTAAGTTTGTTTTCTATGTCTGTGAGTCTGTTTTTGTTTTGTGAATAAGTTCATTTTTCTTTTTTCTTTTTTTTAGATTCTACATTTAAGTGATATCATATGGTATTTTACTGGTTTGATAATTTTCTTTTGTATTAGCTTGGTTTCTTTTTGGGTTTTGTGACTCTGTTGTATGCTTTTGATTTGTGGTTACCTTATTTTTCAAGTATGTTTACCTCTCACTATATCTGTTTGCTGTAGACTGGTAGTCATGTATGCTCAAACACATCCTAAAAAGAATGAAGGAAAAAAATAGAAAAAAGAAAAAAAAGTGAGAGAAAAAAAGTCTCTATTTTCGTGCTCCCCTTTCCCACTTTTTAGGATTTTAATGTCCTTTTTTTTTTTCTACATCTTCATGTTTATTTTCTTGCAGCTCCTTGTAGTTACCACATTTCTAATTATGGTTTTCTCGTTTCTCTAGCGTCTATCCAGCGTCTATCCATTCAGCTGTTGATGGATACTTATGTTGCTTCCATGTCTTGGCTACTATAAATAGCGCTGTTGTGAACAATTGGGTGCACGTGTCTTTTTGAATTAGAGTTTTCTCCAGATATATGCCCAGGAGTGGAACTGCGCCAATGGATACTTTTCAGTCTTTATCTCCCTTGTTATCTGCCTCCTGTTACAAGTGTTCAAGCCTTTCTGCTTTAAGTATTCTTCTCCACAAACTTTCCTAACAGTGCATTTCCCTGATATTCTTAACATTTTGAAAAGTTTTCAACCCATCTCTGAACGTCTGTTTCTGAGTTCATCACTTAAACGTTGGTGGTCACCAGAGCTCTGTCCTCATTCTCTTCTCTGAGTTTTTATTCATTCCCTTCTCTGAGTGATTTTATTCATTCCCATGCTTCCAGTTGTCACATGCAAACCAACAGTGTCTAGATTTATGCCCAAATCTCTGTCCTGAGCTTCACACCCTTATCCAAGGGCCCCACTGGATAGCAACACTATATTCCCAAACTAAAATCATCCTTGTCAATCCCAAACATATTTCTCCTCCCAGATTCCCTAACTTGATGCATTCAGTCTTCATATCACCAGGAGAAACCAGGTAGCCATCCAGCCTTGACTCCCCAAATTTTCTCCTTGGTTGCAGAGAATGACTTGTACAATTATTTACTTTCACCCCCAAAATACTGGTTAATTTTGAGAGGTTAGATTTTATATGATGTTTGGCCTTTAGACATTATACTTATAGCATTTAAGCTGTAATCGCCTCTTTGGTAAATATTTTTAACAAAGCATTTCAAAAACTCATTGCAGGAGGTTAGGACTTTGGTGTGGTCAACCTGGGGAAAAAATAGCTTACTTCATTAGGAATAAAAAGAGAGAAATGTTCTTTGTTCTTTTATTGGCATGGCTTGGGTTGAGAATTATCTGTGTTTCTTATCAGCTGCCCATCTGCACTGAACTTCTAAGGCTCTGCTAAGCTTTTGCCTACTTAGGCTGACTCATTTTCTCCTTGAAATAATATATAGAGATTTTCTCCCCATAATAGCTAGGATGTGTTTTTCCCTGCAAGTCTCTGGTTTCGCCTGCTTACTGTTTTCTGAATCTTTGCTAATACCCACCCAGATATGAAAATCAGAAAGAAACGGTAAAAGGAAATGCTATGAGAGATTTCTTCATAATTACCTTTTAATTCTTTTATTATCGTTGGGCATGTCAATATCCGGGTTGAACTGATAATGAAAAAGTTCGGTTCCAAAGAGATCATATTCCAAGTAACAGCCAAACTGAGCAAACTCCAGCAGTTCCTTCTTATCAAGGATAGTCCTAGAGACAATAAGACAGACATACTGTTATTGCCAAGACTTATTTCTCACCTAGACAAATTAAAAGGTTTTTAGCACACTGTGTACTGGAATATAGTTGAAATCAAGTAAAAGATCTTTTGAGTTGGCTCTTGAGATGTGACTATAAAATAGTAAGTTCAACTTGCTACCAGGAATCAGGGAATTTGCCCATCCGGAAGGGAGTTTTCCCATCTAAAGTACTTAGAGACATTTTAATTAGGATGCCATTACTCAAAAACAATTTTATAATTCTCCTGCAGAATTGTCTTCAGGATGTGTTCCATAGGGAAATCCTTAGTGGCACTGCTGTGAACCATGGAAACTATCAAAGGAAATTTGGCATTAGGTCTCGTGAATTAGGGGCATAATACTAATCTGGATAAAACATGAAGCCAAGGTGAGGTGATGATGGGATTTTATTGTGAAGATCATCCAGTGATTCTAAAATAAATTCCAAAGCTTATGTGCATATCATTGCAACTTTTTTTTTTAAAAAAGGGGCAATACACCTACAGATATTTATGTTCTGTTGTGCTTATATTTTAAGTAGTGTTTATTATTTTATGATAATTTTATGGCTATCTTCTCACTTCAACAGAGATCGTGGTAAAAAAAAATCACTATAAGATAACGTAAATGAAAGGAAAAGGAGAAAAATGTAGGCTAAGTACAGAGTATGGACAGAAGAGCTGAGTCTGGAGCAAGAGCGAATTATGTCTGGAAATTTAGACAATAACAAGTAAAAAGGATGCATAAAGTTAACCCCAAAAATATCATCATAGAGATTCAAACACACAGAAAAACAGGAAAGAAAGAAAAAACCCTACCAGGAGACAATATGGGAAAAAAATGTGAGGGGGAAACATACCTCATTAAACATTGTGTGAAGGGAGTTAAGGACCTTGAGAAAGGAAGCGATTGTTTGGGATCCAAAATTGGCCCGGAGAAGAGTTGGGATCAGTCAGATAATCATCATCTTACTAGGCTTCTACCCACTCTGACAGTCTATTATTTTGGCATCTCCAGGATGCAAAGATTAAATCGTTATTCTAAGCCTATAAATCTGCTTCTCAGAGGTCAGAAGTATTTTCAAAGCCTTTCTTTCAAACCCTAGGATGACCAATTAAGCCTCTGTGTGATGTGTGCGAGGTGATTCTGCTGTCCTGGGACGCTTCCTGGGAGTTGGCGCTTGACTTTCCCGCCAAGCAATCATAGTATAGCTGGCTCCTTTTTATTCTTTTTACCGGTTTAGCATAACATATAATTCACGATGTTGTTCTCAGCAGGGAAGCTAAAAAAGTCTTTCCTTTTTACTATAAAATGTGCATTAGTTCTGTGCTACCGTCTATTAATACTACTCCTTTCCCATCTTCTTACCATGGAGACCACTTTTGCTTCCAAAATTACCGGGCTAAAAAGGGTATGTGTTTTTCTATAGTAAACATACTCTGTTTTCCCCAAGGAACCATGCTCAAAAACGAAATACACACAATTAAAATAACATAAGGCGGAAGAGATAAGTTTAGTACTTTTCCTTTTGAGTCAGTTCATTCCATTTGTTAATTACGACAAAGTGCTGGGGTGGGCTGGCTGGGGAGTCAAGAAAGGAACACAGGCACCAATAACAGGTGGGACCAGACTCTTAACTACTGATTTCAGTGTCTTTTTTTCTCCTTTTGGCCTAAATGCCTTGAGACTAAGTTTTCTAAACTTTAAGTGATATAGTAAGTATGTATATTCATTGAAAAATCCATGGTAAATGAAAAAACTATAGGAAAATCTTTAGTCTTAGCTCCAGTTGAAAACAAAAAGTAAAGTTGCTTATCACCATCATCATCATAGCCTACAAATATAAAAACTTACTATGTGTCTGGCATTGCACTAAGTGCTTTATATTTATTATCTCATCTAATATTCTCCATAGTCCCATCTGGCTTCAGTTTTACAGATGAGGAAACTGGGGTGTAGAGATTAGATGCTCACTCAAGGTGATGTGCTAGAGAGTAAATTCATTTCAAGGCTGGAATCTGCTGTCTTAACCATTATGCTGTATGACTTCTGTTGCTAAATATTTTATTCTCAAAAGACATTTTCCAGAATTACATGGACTGTGTGTGTACATCGTGTTTTTAAATATTTTTATTTTGAAATGTAATTCCTTCCCTATAGCACCCTCAAACTGCATTTGAAAAGTGAGGAATTTACCCAAAACGTAAGAAAGGATTATTTTGTGGAGGTCTTCAGTCACTAGCTCAAAGTAGACAAGATTTGACCTCTACAGTTATTTTGAATATTTCTTTTTTTTTAACATTTTTTATTGATTTATAATCACTTGACAATGTTGTGTCAAATTCGTGTTCAGCACAATTTTTCAGTCATTCATGGACATATACACGCTCATTGTCACATTTTTTTCTCTGTGAGCTATCATAACATTTTTGTATATTTCCCTGTGCTATACAGTGTAATCTTGTTTATCTATTCTACAATTTTTATTTCTAATGATATGTTCAGAGGAGAAGGAACTATATTAATCACGACTGTTGCTTACTTTCTCACAAGGAGACTGACATTGCTCTAAACCTCTTACAGATATTAAGGGGCACATGTTAAGGGTCTTCTGTGATGAGGTCATGTCTCCTGAAGCTCAGACTTGCACATCTAATAGCCTGCTAGCCATCCTTACTTGTATGCCTAAGAGACAACTCATGCTTAGCATGCCTTGAACTAAACCCCTCATGTCCCACCCCAGACCAGCTGCTCCAGCACCCTTCCTACCTCAGTTGATAACAGCTCTTCCCATCCCCTGCTCAGGCCAAAAACCTTGGACTTATCCTTGACTGTTTTCTTGATCTTGCTCTACATCTAGCCCATTGGGTAAACTTTTGGCTTGACTTTCAAAATAGGACCAGGATCTGGATATGTCACCACCTCACCTGCTGCCCCCCTGGTCCAAAACAGCATCATCATCTCTCGCAGGATCCCTGAAACCACTTCCTAATCACTCTCCTTTACTTTTGCTCTACTACAGTCTATTTAAATGTGGCAACCAAAGTCTACCTTCACACATAAGTCACATCAAGTCTCTCCTCTGCTCACAACCCACCAATAGCTCCCCATTTCCCCCAGAGAGAAAGCCAAGGTCTTACAGTGGTCCATGAAGCCCTGCATGATCTCTCTGGATGTGAGGCTTACAGAAGCCTCATCTCAGAGAGGAATGGGGAATGTAGGCATCTGGCTCTCCAGAAGTCAATTATATATAAATTCTGCCTATATGGTAAACGTTATCTGAAGAACGTCACCATGGGTAGAGATCTCTTTCTAGAGGAAGACTTACATATCAAGTAAGATTCATCTACATATGCCCAAAAGTAATCCCTGGGAATTCTTATTCTGTAGAACAGAACAGCACATAGAAAGGAGTGTGCCTTTGAAGGAAATGGCCCCTCTGTAAAGCTCTCTTAAAAATTTCATGGTGTAAGGGGAGAGGATTTCAGAAAAGAAGCAATTAAGCTGATGGAAAATGCATTTTAAAAAA